ATGAAAATATGAGATATTTTGCTATGTCTAAGTACGTAAGATACACAAAACAGTGTATCTTATTTATTTATTTATTTTTATTGAGACGGGGTTTCTCTCCTTACCCAGGCTGGAGTGCAATGGCGCGGTCTCGGCTCATTGCAACCTCCGCCTCCTGGGTTCAGGCAATTCTCCTGCCTCAGCCTCCTGAGTAGCTGGGATTACAGGCACGCGCCACCATGCCAAGCTAATTTTTTGTATTTTTTAGTAGAGACGGGGTTTCACCGTGTTGACCAGGATGGCCTCGATCTCTTGACCTCGCGATCCACCCGCCTCGGCCTCCCAAAGTGCTGGGATTACAGGCGTGAGCCACCGCCGCCGGCCCAGTGCATCTTATTAATACACTTTTTGGTTATTTTTGAGTTAAGGGAATGTAAGGAAAACATTGGTGGGTGGGGTGCGGTGGTTCCTGCCTCTTAATTCCAGCATTTTGGGAGGCCGAGGCAGGTGGATCCCTGAGCCCAGCCGTTTGAGACCAGGTTTGGCAACACGGGAAAACCTGCCTTTACTAAAAATGCAAAAAATCAGCCTGGTGCGGTGGTACCTGCTTGCAGTCCCAGCTACTTGGGAGGCTGAGATGGGAGAATTTGCTTGATCCTAGGAGGCCGGAGGCTTCAGTGAGCCGAGATTAGGCCACTGCACTCCGGCGTGGGTGACAGAGACCCTGTCTCAAAAACAAAAAATAAAAAGAACCAAGGACATTAATGTAATAACACATTATTTTTAGAAAAGTAGTATCATTCACTCCTGGCCCAGCATGGGATATAAGGCCATCTTTGTGAACTGACCTGCCTTGTGTTACACCTAATAAAGGAAACCCATACATTTACGTGCTATACCTGCTGCGGTTGCCCATGAAGAAGCTAACTAACACTGAATAATAAAACCGAGCTCATCTGATTTTGTGGTGGTGGGTGAGCTGTATTCTTTTGAAAGGAGATTAGTTATAAAGGTGTTCCTTTGAAACCGTTGGTGTTGTTTTTTGAAAGATTTCGTGAGGGAAGGTTGGTGGTTATTTGGCAGTAGCTCTGGTTTGAGTCCAGGTTTCCTCCTGTTCAACAAGGAAAGCAATTGGTACACTCTAAAAACAAACAGACACACAAACAAAACCACTCTAAGTCTTATATTAAGAGTATTTCAAACTTTGTCATTTTAGGAACGTTATAGAGATTTAACTGGTAGAGACAGTTTTGGACGTTTAGTTAAATCCAAAAGTAGGAGATTTAGTTACAGTCTGGATTTTGGGGTAATAAAATCAGGTAATCAGCTAACTAAAGTAGACTTCCTTCTACTTTATGAGTTAATGTATTTTGCTTCTTAATCATAGAGTGTCCTGTTGTTTTAAATTAAAACACTTGATTGGTTTTCCAGATAATTTTCACTCTCCAACTTTTCATGTGTTTTTATGGTATCACTTTAATCTTTACATTTTTTTTTTTAAAGCCTCTTACTGGGTAGATGATTTAGTATAGCACATAGAATATTTTGTTTTCCCTAGTACACTGTTATTGGACTAATGGCCACGTTTAATGATCAGTGTTGATTTCATGTAGCAGTTATCTGAAATAGAGCCTTTTAAAACATTGTTATTAAATAATCACTACTAGCTACTGAAATATATTTGGTTCGCAGTGCATTTTCCAGTTAGCGTTTTTTCCCTTGGTCTTGCAAAGTATTTTCTTGTATAAAATACAGGTTTTAAAAGTTTGTTTTGCAGGACCTATCTTTTAATAGACGTTTTCTAAATAGGCAGCGTCGTGGTGATGTCATAGGCTTCTAATTTTACATTTTCTGTTTTAGAAGGACGCTATATACCTCCTCACTTAAGGAACAGAGAAGCATCTAAAGGTATGTCTTTAAGGCAACTTTGTAGATCTAACCTTTAGCAGCTCATGAAAGCCTAGGGAAAAAAGTAACTTGAGGAAGTCTGTGAACACTTTTTGTCCCCTCCTGTGCCTCTTTTGGACCGTCTTTAGGAACTAGCACTTTCTGTCTTTGGAAAAGTTCATATAATGTTGAATGATGGATATTTCTTGTGTCCTTTGGCAGACTGAGCCCAAAGACTTTGGGTTTTATGTAGGTTAACTACGGTACTTTATCTTTTGGTAACATTTATGACATGGTTTGAATTTGAAAGTGGCATATTTGTGTGAATGCCTTAAGTCAAAGAAGCTGTATAGTGATAAAGTCTGGTTTGCTGCTGTCTTGAAAAGTTGCCGCGGTGAAATGTTTTTTTGTTGTTGTTGTTATTCGGACTAGTTAACAGTTGTAAGATTATCACTTTGGGCCACATTCAATAAGCTGGTGATACTGTCTGGTTTCAACCCAAACAAGTTCATTTCAAAGGTGTCGTATGAAATGCATTAAAACACATGGGGTTGTTTACTATTAAATCTGTAAGGTAGAAGAGTACATTAGAAAAGTTTAATTGTGGTGATGTTTTGAGTGCTGCACATACAGCAAAAAATTTCTAGGAGAAGGAAATGTCGGGAAAAATATTTAAAACCAAAAGGAAAGAAGCTAATGATAAAGGGGTGTGGAGTGGGTGGAGTTACTTGTGGTTGGCTTTGTGTTTCTTTGTTTAGTCTGTGCGGTCTTTTCAAGTCTGTATATGTTTATCAGAAGACTGCTTGGCTAATGATTGTTTTCTTATTTCAGAGTAACTGCAGAATTTCTTTTATCACAAGTATTCTTAGTGTTGTATCTGGCTGCAGTTGCACCCGAGGTGTGTTAAGTGCCTTAAGGAGAGTTGGCAATATTTTAGTACTGGGGGGATGGAAGAGATGTTAAACATCCAACTTCCTTAATGCAGGAAGTCCTGTTGGTCATTTGTCTAGTACTGTGTTTTTAAAACCAGGGGAAAATTAAAAGTTACAACTTTATAAATTTGTAACCTTAAACATTTAATTACATGTTTGAATTAGGTAAGCCCTCAAGCAAGTTTGCGGTTGTGGAGGGAGTTTACTCTTGTCATTGCTTTTTCAGTTTGTAGACAATGAAAGAAGGTGATAATGAGGGTTTTTTAAGCTCAAGTGTATGTTTATTCTCACTGAGGGTATTGAGATTACACCGTTACATTTGCAGTCTTGGTAGGCCAGTAGTACATGTATGAGTGTAGCACATGATGACGTTTACAACAACTTAGTTTTACTTGTTAATACTAAAATAGAGTCTTGACCATCCCTGAATGCGAGATTGTATTCAAATAACTTTATGTGAATAGATTGAGAAACGTTGTTTTTAGGTAGTAGGATGTAATAGTGACTTAAGAAATGGGTTACGATGTTCAAATTGAGAGCTATGTCAATGGGAAAACCTAATTTGCCGTATCTTGACTGTCCCATGCCTGAAATTTTCAGAGTAGTTAGAAATTCCCTGTCTTAATAGGTCTGACATATTTTTTTCTGATTATGTAGATCTCTTCACTTAGTTCAAACTTTTCCCTAGGCAACCCACAGTCCCTGACGTAATCTTCAGCTGGGCCTTCCCAAAATGTGTATTACACATCGCTTATGCCACATGTTTAGGCTTAACACCTTTTGCGCTACGTTATTCAGGATTTGTCAACGATGGATCATAACTAGGAAACTAACACAAGGGGCTTGCACTAGCCACAAGTTGAGCTTAAAAATTAGGGAGTTTGAAATGCCTCCTAATCAGTCATAGCTTAAAAAAAGACGTGGCAAATAATTTCATTGGAGTAGGTTTACATTTTGGATACATAAAATTTATACTTACAAGGTGAATGAAAACAATTACTGTTGTGGTGTGATAGTATAGTGTTAGTGTCATAGCTATGTTATATGCAGGCTCCATTGTTCTCAGGTCATGAGATTACTTTGCCTCATTTAATCGTCTCCGGTAGAAGAAAACATTAACGCTTGTAAAACTTTTGCTTATGGGACCTGTTGACCTTTGTTCCCACAAGGATAAGGTAAAGGAAGACTACGTGTGAAGGACTTCATATTTGGGAAGATATAAATCATGTAAAAATTTCGTCAGCATTTAATTTTTGCTTTTTTATTGAAGGATTCTCTGATAAAGACAGTTCAGGTTGGAGTTGCAGCAGAGATAAGGATGCATATAGCAGTTTTGGGTC